TAGTAAGAAGTAGTCGAAGATTTAAGGCTTTAACAGCACAGGCAATAGATGTGTTCTTGCGAGTAAAATGCTGGAAGGACGGGATTTTTGACTGTTCAAGTATGCATTTTTTAAGCCCTCTTACTAAGAGTTAAGTTTCTTTTAAGACTGGGAAATTTTTTTGCTGTGTTGGGAATTTCATTTGCTTGAAAATCCATTTGCAGAACTTCAAGTTACGTTGTTGTTTCTGCTAAAAAAAAAATTTTCTTTGGAATTTGCGGTAGATACGTCATCCACGAAAACTACTGAAGTCAGTGAACTTCCACAGAATTGAAAAGAATTCCCAGTTGTGAATGTGCTAAATTGCTGCTTTTGCCTTGACCCTAAAATATTCCTCAGTTTTTATTTGCAATATTGAGAGTTGTAGCACGGCTCATTCAACATCACAGCGGTTAGGAAACTATCAAATGTGCTGTGAAGGGCGTCGCTGTAATCTGTCTTGTGGTAATATTTGCCTCAAAAAATGTCATCTGTTTGGAAGCCAAAAAACCCAACAATAGAAAATTTAAGTTATATTTGCTTGGACATTTTTAGTATTTTGCGGATCATATGCTGAAGTGTTATGTGAGACTTCGTAAAAGACCGGTTTTCACAATTGCAGCAATGTAACTTGAGCCTGTACAACAGTGCCTTTTATGCAGTTAGTTCTTTCCTTACTACTTCTTATTTCCCAAATGAACTTCCGATCCTGCCATTTCATCGTACTTGCCAGGATCGGAATTTCCTGGATACGATGCCGTACATATCTGGTAGCTCGAAGCATGTCGAACAGGTCCTGCGTTGCGTTTTGTCGGCTAAGCTTGGATGATACTGCTTTTGGTGCTTATTTTGAAAGAACATTGCGGTACTCGTCAAACAAACTCACATTTTTGCCAAACTTCTTTTCGTTTTACATATTTCTGTTTCACTAGTGATGAATGATGTCTGTTTTGAGGGTTTACAAGAAATGAAAAATGGGAGGGAGCAAAATCCTTCAATCATAAACGCGAGCTCTCCGTCTGAAACCCCTGGACGCCATTTTTAATTTCAGTATTTTCTGGAATTTTAGCTTAACTTCGTCCATTTATTATTAAAAAGAGTATAAAAAAATGGATTTTTGGAATATAATGAATTTCTAGAATATAATCAAAAAAATTGCTATGCTGAGAAGATTCTAG